CATGTAGCTTGGGAAAGTTACTTGACAGGGCTCCTCTGCAGCGTATTATTTGAGTTTGGACGCCAAAGCCTCGCTGGCTTTGAGTCCTAGCTCTGCCACTTACTACCTGTGGCACTGGGCAGGCTTCAGTTTCATCTGTGAAATGGGGATCATGAAGTTACCCACAGCCAGAGTGGTAGTGTGAAGATTAAATGAGGTGAGATGTAGAAAGTGCTTGGACTAGTGTCTGCGTAGTGTCCTGAATACTCTGTCCGTGTTAGCCGGGCTTATTGTTGTGATGACGCCGTGAGGTGATGCACGGAAAGGGCTTAGCATAGATCTTGGCCCAGAGGCAGCAGTTAATGTCAGACTCCCTAAGTTCCCCCTCGTACAGCATGGGAAGGTCATCCTGGGCCAAAGAAAGGTGTTAGGGGAAGGCAGAAGAAGGACCTTTAACAGGCTCTGCAGCAGGGTCAAAACTGGAGAATGAAAATATCTCTAAGGTTCCTTGTGTTAGAAAGGGAGAAGAGCAGATCTGCTAGCCAGTGAGCTTTGTGAGGAAGGGGCCTCAATCAGCTTTGTTAACCATTGTATCTTCATGGCTCAGCACAGTGCCGATGCTGAGCAGGCACTCAGGAAGTGTTTGTTAATGATTGAGCAGGCACTCAGGAAGTGTTTGTTAATCATTGAATGACAGACTGAATGAGGGAGAGATGCCTGTGGCCATTAATTGGGGAAGGGAGGGTGTATTGACTTTCTTTTAATTTGAGGTAGGAAGTTGGAGACATCGAATTAATGAGATCAATTGGCAGTTAATAACTAAGTAATTTATACGTTAACTTAAATTTAATACATTATATTTAATACATGCTGTTCCAGATCAGTTCATTGATACGTGTTTGGAGACTGTACTTCATTAAGGAGTGAAATAACGCGTCCTTATATTTCCTATTACGTAACAGGAAAGTAGAGATGTCCGTGTAACTTCCTCCATACTTATCTCAGTGATCAGGGTTAGAAACCCTTAAAATGGGAATGTGCCTTCATTCAGGGCCAGCAGGACTGGGGTGCTGGGAGGAGCCGTGAGGGCTCCCTCCTGGAGCTTGTGGTCTGCTCCCTGGTTGGCTCCCTTCTGCTCCTCTTGCTCTGTGTGGTCCAGCAGATGGTGATGCATTTCTCCTAAGGCATTGCCCCAGCCTGCCTCTCCCACCTCACTGCTAGCTGCTTTTCTCTCACCTTCTCTGCTCCAGATACATTGCTCTTTCTACTCGTCTGTTCTCTGAGCACACCAAGCTTATCTCCAAGTCAGGATTCGGTCCCTCTGATTCCCTTTCCTGGCGTGTGTTCCTCCATATCACTACACAATTCTTTTCCTTGTAGAGAGGGCCTCTCTGAGGATGCAGTCAGAGTAGCACCCTGCCGCTTCTCCATCACTGAGTCCCCTTGTCCTTGATTTTTCTTCAGAGCATCAGTAACTACCAGGCTTTGTATATCTTTGCTTGACTTTGCCTTCCTCACTAGAGTGACGCATTTAAGGCCAGTGTGATGCCTAAAACGTTACCTGGCCCGTGGTAGGATGCAGAAATATTTTAATAAATTGGGTAGATGTTGCAATTACTTTTGACAAAATCAGTCTGGGAAATATTCCCAGGGTCAAGTTGTGATTCTTCAGCATGAGAACCAAGATGACCCTGTTTGGAATATGATATTACATCAAATGCATCTAATACTATCAGGATATACATAAAAAAGAGATTCTAGTTTAGGAGTGTGTGGGGAGAGAAATTTTCTTTTAAATGTTTTTTTGTTTCAAAGATTTACTTGTAAATTGATTGCTTGGAATTGAGAGCAAGTCATATTTTCTAGAAGAGGATTCTTATATTGACCCAGAAGACTACCTACTTCGGATTTAAGAAATTCGGGCACACATGGAGAAAATAGTTTCTGATAGATGACCCTGCTATTTTATTTGTTACCATCCCTCCTTTTTCTAAAAAAGATTTGTTAGTGTACAAGAATCATTTATTCATTCAAGTATTTAAGTGACAACAAACATTTCATGTCCACTGCTAAGCACTGGGAATGCAACATTGAATAAGATGCCAGCTTGTCTTTATTGCAGTCTAACGGCAGGTACATTAAACATGTAATTATACAGATAATTACTTAAAATTGTGATAAGACCTATGAGGGAAAAATAAGGAAGGCGAGAGGGTGGTTCTGTGTAGGCACATCATCTCACCGCCTTTTACTTCGCGAGTCACTGATTTTCTAAAGATGTTCCAGTCAGTTTCCAGCCACAGCCACTGCCCTGGAGATTCCAGCAGCTGGAGAGGCGCGAGGAAGGCCTTGCAGCTGGCCAGTGTCCGGACGGCTTGGTGTGGACTGAGGTCCTCCTGTTTAGTTGAGCCCCGTTAGAGTGCGCAGGACACTGAAATAAACAGAAAGTAAGCTTTTCTCTACTAGGTGAATGAGCGCAGATTAAAAGTAATGGGGTAGCTGAAAGCAGATAAATAAACGCATAGGAATTTTCCTTATTTCTTTTTCCTGTGACAGCTCTGCTGAGGTCCTTTATAGTCACAGGTGTTTCAGGAATTTTAATACACATCGTCTCCAACTTACACTCAAGTGACAAATTTCCTGTTGGATGACCATTCCTATCTTAGGTGCCATCTCCTGCCGACATTTCCATTTAAGTTTGGAGGTTTTAGGGCAGAGGTTCTTAGATTGTATTTCAGCAGAATCGTTTTTGTTTTTTTAGCTTTATTGAACTATAAGTGACAAAATTGTGAGATATTTAAAACGTACATCATGGTGATTTGATAGACATATACATTGTGAAAGGATTCCCACTGTCTAGTTAATAAGCGCGTCTATCACCTCTCATTATTTATCTTTTTCTCTTTTTTCCTTTGGTGAGAACATGTAAATTCTACTCTTTCAGCCAATTTCGATTCTGTAGTACAGTGTTGTCAACTAGAGTTCCAGCTTTTACACTAGCTCCTTAGACCTGATCCAGCAGAATCTTAACTGGAAACACCACCTGGTTACGAACTTGGGCTCTAACTCAGACGACTTCCCTAAGCCTCAGTTTCCTCCTCTGTGTGTCTGTAGGGAGTAGGGGGCCTGGGAGGAGGCACTGATGGTCCCTGCCTCTTGGCTGTTTGGAGTAAACTCTGTCATGGGCGTCGGACAGTTCGCACAGGGCCTTGCCCGAGGAGGCCCCAGAGGTTGGTTAGTATTAATATAATAGGGCCTGGACGTGTCAGTTTAGGTTAGCTGACACTCTGTTTTCAAAGCTCCTGGGGAGGGTAAGTGGTGTCAAATCATTTTAAATCTTTGCCTAGGGTCCCATCTGAGAAAGGGAAAGAAAACTTCTCTTGTGCGAAATGGCCACGTGCTTTTAGGACTCACAACTCTGGCTGTTACTTGTTAAGACGGCTTAATTTATCCTGTTAGAAAAGTATTATTATGTAGCCTAGGATACCAACTACCAACTTTTAATACCTTTTCCCTCTTTGGGAAAAATTTATTCATGTTTGCAAAAATCCACCTTATAGATTAACATTTTAAAAACGAGGACACTATATTTAGAAGTGAGAAATTTGTGGGCTAGATTTCTTCACACTTCAGCTAATTAGAAATACCGTAAGACCATTTTCTGGGGCAATTTTGATATTCCCATGTTTTGGAAGGCATTTAACTTGTGCTTGGTGATACTGTCGGGACCAAGAAGTAAATCCAGCAGGATGGAAGCATTTGTGCTTCTGAAGTCTGTGCGCTGTCAGCTTTGCCCTGCCCAAGAATAAACCCGAGTAGATGCTCACTTTTGCCGATTCTGGCTCCACGCAGGCCGGCTTCGTAATATCTTGTTCGTGGCTGTGAGATTTATTTCTCTCAAAGCGGCCTATTGATATTGTAAAAAGATTGAAATGCTGGGATTACGCAAATTTGGCAATTGTTTTATTGGCACAAATTATTTTCTTGGCATAAAACATTCTTAAAAGACTACAAGAGCTTCATTGTTTTGGGAAAATTGATCTTTTTAGCTTGGAGTTTGCTTTTTGCCTATATTAGTTTCTTTGAAAATCCTTGAGAAATGTTTCGTTTTGTGGTGAAATAAAAAACACTCAGACTACAAAACCCATCATATTTTGCGGTGTCATGAAATGCACAGCAGTTCTTTAGGGCATATATGGTACCAGTTAATAGACACTTGGGTTTCCTTTGCTTTGAAAGTTATTTTTAAACTAAGTCTTGTTCTACCAGTTGGCTCAAATCTCCCCTTTCTATTCCCTTACATGCATATTGAATAGTAATCTTATTTCTTAACATTATGATGAATTTTAGCATAAACTTTGGTCAGTAATTATATAAAATTCTCTGTTTGTTAGAGAGTTTGTGATATTGTGGTGACTCTGCTCTTTAGTGACTTGGTATCCAGTGGTAAATTCCTGTTTCCTGGAAGGCCGTACTTCTGTTGAGGGCCCCGAGTAAGCTGTGGTGTTCTTGGTCGGAATGTGCAAGCCCCTGTGAAGGGGCGTGGTTGCTGGGGGGTGAAAACTTGGCTCGGTGGGTCTGATAGCCCAGCTCGGCCGTTATCGTGTGTGCTGGCTGGAAGTCTTTATTTAAATAGAGAGCGTTGATTTTTTGTTTTTAAATGTTCTCAATGGTAGCTTTTGACTTAAAAAGTAAGCTTAAGCTGTGCTTTGCTGCCAGATTCTGCAGGAGTTTAAAGCAGTATGGTGCCAGAGATTTACATATTTTGAAAATGGCTACAGGTGGCTGGGACAAAATAGATGAACACAGACATGTTTGAAGGTTGCATGGTTTCCTTTGGAGATTCACAGACAAGCGGCAGAGCAACTCCTGAAATGCTTGCCATCATCGCCTTGGTCTGGCTTGCCAGTTTCGAGTTTCAGTTACATTTTTGCATATTTGCTTATTGGACCAGAAAAACACCAAAACACTAACTGAGCTTTCTTCCTTTTGCTGTGATCCTTCTGCTTCTTGACTTGCAGAACGCTCCTGAGCCTGTAGCAGCCGCTGAGACCCTCGCCGAGGTACCTGACCATGTACTTCGAGGCCTTCCAGAGGAAGTGAGGCTTTTCCCATCTGCTGTTGACAAGGCTCGGATCGGTGAGTATAAGGGTCGCAGAGGAGACGGGGAAGGGGGTGCAGGCTGTGGCGAGGCTCCCTTTGCCACAGTTAAGGTTGAGAGCTCACCATAAAAGCAACAGATTTACATTTTGACTTGGAAGATTATGTAGTGTTTATACATTTTCCAAGGTAAACGTAGATTACAAAAATTAAACTAGAGAGGTCAGCTCGGTGGCGCAGCAGTTACATTCGCACATTCTTCTCCAGCGGACTGGGGTTTGCCAGTTCGGATCCCAGGTACGGACATGGCACCACTTGGCAAGCCATGCTGGGGTAGGCGTCCCACATATAAAGTAGAGGAAGATGGGCATGGATGTTAGCTCAGGGCCAGTCCTCCTCAGCAAAAAGAGGAGGATTGGCAGCAGATATTAGCTCAGGGCTAATCTTCCTCAAAGAAAAAGAAAAAAAAAATTAAACTGGAAACACACACAAATACCCCCTCTCCCCATCTTTTGTGACCCAGCCTGAGTGTCCCCCTTCCTCTGTGTCTCCCTGGGCCTCTTCTTCCCACAGAGTGTCTCACTCCCTCCTCTGATTTCACTGTGACTTGAGCATGATTTTACTATGATGTTTATTTCATTATTTTGTACTTGTTTTCACGTCTGTCCCTTTCATTGATTGTGAGTACCTGCACTTATCTTTATGTCTCTAGTACCTGATGCTTCATGGACCTCAGTAGGTACTTGAATGAATGACAACCTGAGTGTCCTGAATGCTTCTGGCTGGGATTTCTCATTGAGTACAAGCCAAACTTTTGTGTTTTTGGACTTATTTTTGTGTCCTAATCTTTAGACAGAAGCCTAAGGAAGTAAATTATGAAAGTTTAGTCAAAATATAGTCTTGGAATGTATCATGTTTGTATCCTATTTTCTTTTTTTTAAGACGTATTTCTCATATTCCAGTTTTATGTATATATGTATGTGAATAAGTAGCAGATAAATGCTTTTCCTAAATGTCATTGAAAAGTTATGATGTTAGTTGAGCATTTATATTGTATTGGTCGCATGAAAGTGATTGATTTTGTACTTTCCCTATTTGATTATTAGCTGTGTTATGAAATGGGATTCAGAGCAGACTTACAGAAAAGTAGAATTCGTGTATCTTAGCTGGACAGGACTGTCTCAGCCCCACCCTCCTCCTGTACACGAGGAAACTGAGGCCAGCAGGTGAGGGAGCCTGTCCAGAGTGCTGTTGTCAGTGAGAGTCACTGCTGGGTGCTGGTTCCCTTGACTCCGGGGTGGTCTCCTGCCATTTTGCCCACTGCTTCTTCATCTTGTCTGTGTGCCTTATGGTCAGGGCAGGGAACATGGAAATACCCTTGAGAATGCCACAGAGCAGTATGAATCTTGGCTGTTTGAAACTCTGAAAAGTACGTTGTTCCAGGAGCTAAGTTTTCAGGAAATTTAGCTAGAGAGGAGAGGGTTTTCCACCTTGAGCAAACAAACTTCAAAAATCTATATTCGTCAAACTGTATTTGTAATCCTTTATGAAAGCAACTCATGTTCATTGCACACCATTTGGAATTTGTAGAAAAGTAGAAAGAGGAGTTTAAAAATTGTTTATAGGTTCACTACATTATGATATTTTTTCTCTTTAGTTGTTGTGATTGTGCTGTTCTCTGTGTGTTTGTGATTGTACTGTCTGGGTAATTTCACATGTAGAAATTAAAAACAAGTATACAAAATTCTTTCCTATTTATAAAACAATATAGATTCTGTGCAGGCTATTTGGAAAATGCAGAGCAATGTAAAGAAGAAAAATAAAAATCTCTGTTGAAGATTTGATTTAATTTGATGTCACGATCTCAGTAGATTTAACATTTTCTTGCCTTTAGGCTGTCTAGCCTTTTAACTTTTGTGAAACTGAATTGATTTTAATGCTTCAATTTTTAAAATAACCACAAAACAAAAATATTGGTTTTATTTTCTAGGTGTCTGGGCCACTAAACCAATTTTAAAAGGCAAAAAGTTTGGGCCATTTGTTGGTGATAAGAAAAAGAGATCTCAGGTTAAGAATAATGTATACATGTGGGAGGTAAGAAAGAATTCTGGTTCTTTGTTTATCAGAGTTCTGTACATTTTTTAAGAAATCATTCTATTCTCTCAGGATTTGATATTTTGAAATTAAAATGATCATCTTAATGTGTTCTTTAAAATCAAGATTATTTTCATTGAAGGGAAAATGTATTTCCTTGGCTACAGACTGCTGTTTGCATCTGTATTTTGAAACTGCTTGGCTGTCAACAATAACCGGCAAGTCCACTTTTTATATTGCCTCGTTCAGGGTGTTTGGCTTTGCAGCCAAGACTTTGGTCTGTTACTTTACAGGCTTCCAGATAGACACCATAAAAGACACTTCAAGGTGGCTGCAAATAAGACTGTTAGATTCTTCTCTATAGTTTCGAGAGTAATCTCTCTGTTCCTGGAGTATTCAGAGTTGAATATGTTTAGCACATGGTGCATTTGTATAGCACTTTGAACTTTCTGAAAGGCTTTCATTCCGTTCATTTCATGTTCTCACAACAATCCTGGAAGACCGAGCAGAGCATTAACACCCTGCTTACAGAGGTGCAGTGGTCAAGACAGAGGTGAACTGCTCCTGCCTGGGGGGCCTTCATTTGAGAGTGGTGTCGATGCAGCGCTAGAACCCCCGTCTCCTGCCTGACGGTGCAGCGATTAAAAATAGTTCTTTGGATTGCCTGGGTCCAGTGCTACCTTGAACTTTGTGACTCTGGGCAGGGCACTTAACCTCTGGGCCCTGAAGCCCTCAGTTTAAAAATTGCAGAATAAAAAATGTCTCAGTAAGATAGCTGTGAAGATAACACCTGTTATTGTTTCCGGGAGAGTTGCATGCAAATTCAGGGTTTGTGTCGAATTTAGATCGGGTGCCTTGGGAAGCTCCTCACATTATTATAGGAAGTCAGTGGTGTTACTCCTTTTTAAAGCAAGTGAAGTTTTTTGGTGGTAAGGAAAAGCATTTTTATCAGATGGTCTTAAATTGAATCAGATCTGATTCACACGTAAACATAGAAAAGCTTAAAAATCAAATGTGCCTAGGAAATGTCTGGATGCTTCCCGTCAGAAAGGCTGTGGCATTTGCACGTTTGAGGGATGTTGCAATTTTTCTCAATGCTACAAGCAGTGTTTGTTAATTTGAAAATTCTGAGTTTCTTGCAGTAATTTTGAGTTTATTTGTTGCGAATCCCTTATAATAAATCTAATGACAGATAACCCAAGGTGCCTTGGGAGACAAGGCTTTACCCTGAGAATAATTTGTTTATTATTTCACCACTTTTGAGGTAAAAGGACACTATTTGTAGAAAAACTGCCCAGCCAAAAAATGATGTTAATTACTCAAGATAATGCCTGAATGATTAAAAATGTCTTGACCACAAAACTATGCTCCAAAATAAACTGCATTTTTAGTTTTAGAAGTTTCCCAAGGGAGGGTAACAAATACGTTTTACCGGGTTAGCACTAATCTTAGGCTGATGGCAGGGAACCAGGAAATGCTTACTCCAGTTCTGTGTGTGTAACGCTAAGCTCGAAGAAATGCCACTAGTATTAAATCTAACTTTATGGTTTGTCTTTTACCCAGCATAACAATTTGATGTCGTTAGGCATGTCTTATAAATTATTACTAGTCCCTTTTGGTAAGTTAAGCTTCATTTGTATTGAAATTCATACATAGTAGCTTGGTGAAAATTGTAATTTGGAGCCATGACCACATTGGGGATTCGATTTGTATTGTGAATTTGTTGACATCCCATTGTTAACTTAAGATACTTCTACTTATGTACTAGCACAGGCCGTGAATCCTTATGACATGGCCAGTTCTTGTTAGTCAGGTTTAATGATTTAGTTCTTGTCAAGGCTGGCTGGCTTTTCCTTCTTGCAATTAAAACAAAAAATGTGGATGTCATTTAGATAATTCCGACTGTGAAGTACATATTCCGCACAGAAGCTTTTAAGCCTTTTGCTATGTTAAAACAAAGTTATATATGACTTTTATATGTAGAAGTGTGCATTTGGCAAAGTATAGGAAAACTAAATTATAATGTACTTATTTCTTATAAAGAAGAAAATAAAATTTCAGGTAAAATGTAATATTACCCCATTAATTTATTCCAACCTTGGTCTTATCCTCAGACTTGCATCAGAATGCCTCTTATTAATGTAACAGAAACTGCTTATCATTAAGATCTCATCGTGGCATTTGCTCTTCCATTAAAGCCCCTTAAGACCAGCTTATCTTTTAGCAGCCCGGAGTTTTGCCCCAGCTAGAACTCCCATTTTAAAGTTAATCCAGGACAAAGTGTTAAATTGCTTTTTTTGAGCCCTTGATTATCTAATGCAGTCTTAAGTCCTCTAAGCTTTCACTGAAAACATTCTGTTCGATCAGAAATAACAGGAGAGAAAAATTAGAGTATCCTCAGAGTGAATGCACAAGCCAGTCAGGCTCTCAGAAGAGGAGAGCGCTCTTTGATCAGTTTCTGGTGGAAACTGCTAGCCACCTGAAACGCTGGACTTCGTGTACTGCTTCCCTCGACTGCCCCGCCACAAACTGAGCAGTCTGCAGTGTTCTAAAACCACTGCTGATGAAAGCCTTTCGCATTCACTTCTAAGGCTCAGATTGCTTCTGATGAACAGAACTTTTAAATTGTTTGCATACAAGATATTTTAATAAGTCTTTTAAAAAAATAGAGTTTATTTTTTAGAGCAGTTTTAGGTTCACAGCAAATTGAATAGAAAGTACAGAGTTCTTATAGACCCCCAACCCCTCTAAACACACAGCTTTTCCCACTGTTAACATCGCGCACCAGAGTGGTCCATTTGTTAAAATCGGCGAACCTGCACACATCATTATCACTTAAAGTCCGTAGTTTACATTATGGTTCACTCTTGGTGGTGTACATTCTAAGAAGTCTTACATGCTCATTGCAAATTAATGTAAACAATACAGAAAACTATAAACAAAGTAAAAGTCATCTGTGAATATCTTGGTGAACATTCTGTTAACTCTACCTCTCGTTTTTCTTCCGTCTTTCATACACACTGGTACATATACAAACACCATATATAGACATTTCCTGCAGTTGAGATCAAACGTACATGCAGGTTTGTAACGTGCTTTTTTCTTTCAACATGTGGTGGATATATCTGTGTCATATACTTACCTACATCTTTATTTCTTATGGCTTCCTGGAATCTCATTGTTTTCTTCCACTATTTAACCAGTTGGCTATTTAAATAGTTTTGATCTTTTCATGATATTGACAATACTTCGAAGTATGAAACTCTCTTTATATCTATATTTGCTGACCTGTCTGGTTATCTTCTGAAGATAAATTCCTGCAAGTATAATTATAAAGTCAAAAGTTATATACATTTTAATCTTTGGGAAATTTTGCCTGACAGACCTCCAGAAGGATTATCCTAATTTACATAGCCATGAAGAGTACATATTTCTTCCCATCTTTTTATTTATTTTTTAATTTTTTTTGTGAGGAAGATTGGCCCTGAGCTAACATCTGTGCCAGTCTTCCTCTGTTTGAGTAGGATACTGTCACAGTGTGGCTTGACGAGTGGTGCTAGGTCCGTGCCTGGGATCTGATCTTGCAAACCCCTGGCCACCACAGTGGAATGTGCAAACTTAGCCACTAGGCCACTGGGCAGGCCCCTCTTCCTATCTTTTTAAAACCCAATATTGTTAATCTTTTAAGATTTTTTCCTCCTCATTCTTATAGATGAAAACTGTAGTTTACTGCTTCTATTTGCATGTTATTCATTCAGGCAACGAATTTTGAGTCAAGAGGATAGGAGGGAAGAAGTAAAATTGCATTTCAACTAAAATCGATAGAAAAATTATTTCTGTAGAATGGGAAGACTTTAATGTAATTTTTTAATTTAATTATTTTTATTGCAGTAACACTGGTTTATAACATTCTATAAATTTCAGGTGTATATCATTATATTTCGATTTCTGTCTAGATTGCATCATGTTCACCACCCGAAGACTATAATTACAATCCATCACCGTACATGTGTCCAGTCACCCCTTTTGCTCTCCTCCCTCTCCCCGTCCCTTCTGGTAACCCCCGGTCCAGTCTCTGTCTCTGTGTGTTCATTTGTTGTTGTTTTTATCTTCTGTTTATCTTCTGTTTATGAGTGAGATCATACAGTATTTGGCTTTCTCCCTCTGACTTATTTCGCTTAGCATAATACCCTCAAGGTCCATCCATGTTGTCATAAATGGCCAGATTTCATCATTTTTTTATGGCTGAATAGTATTCCAGTGTATATGTACACCACATCTTCTTTATCCATTTGTCCCTTGGTGGCCACCTACGGTGCTTCCAAGTCTTGGCTATTTTGAATAATGCTGCAGTGAACACAGGGGCACATATATCTTTATGCATTCATGTGTTCATGTTCTTTGGATAAATACTATGCAGTGGAATAGCTGGATCATATGGTAGTTCTCTTCTTAATTTTTTGAGAAATGTCCATACTGTTTTCCATAGTGGCTGCACCAGTTTGCACTCCCACCAGCAGTGTATGAGGGTTCCCTTCTTTCCACATCCTTTCCAACACTTTTTGTTTCCTGTCTTGTTAATTATAGCCATTCTGAAGGGCGTGAGGTATGATATCGCATTGTAATTTTGATTTGAATTTCCCTAATGATTAGTGATGTTGAGCATCTTTTCATGTGCCTGTTGGCCATCTGTATATCTTCTTTGGAGAAATGTCTGTTCAGATCTTTTGCCCATTTTTTAATTGGGTTGTTGGTTTTTTTGTTGTTGAAATGTATGAGTTCTTCATGTATTTTGGATATTAAACCCTTATCAGATATGTGGTTTGCAGATATCTTCTCCCAGTTGTTAGGTTGTCTTTTTGTTTTGTTGATGGTTTCCTTTGCTGTGCAGAAGTTTTTTAGTTTGATGTAGTCTCATTTATTTATTTTTTCTATTGTTTCCTTTGCCCTGTCAGACATGGTACTTGAAAATATGCTGCTAGAACTGATGTCAAAGAGCG